TATATATATATATATATATGTATAAACTAAATCTAATAGTGGTAAAGGCAGAGCTGGAGGTCATTCTTAGGCAGTACAAGACCTGAGCTGGCTCAGAACTGCAAGCGTTAACAGAGGAGAGGCCACCGTGCTGCTATACTTGCTGAGCCTCGGTGATATTGCACAGGACTTAAACTTTGATGCTTTGATTTCCTTGAGTGGTTCCAGAAAAGAGTCCATTACTCTTTGCTCTCATTGGTCATGATACGGCCAATTGTGCCTGCACAAAAAAGAAGAGAATCCTCTTGTAAGGATTTGTTGTAACGCCGTGTGTCTTAGAGATGTGAGCACTGGGCTGTGCTGCATTTGGACTCATCTTCAGCAGTGAAGGTAATAGCAAACGGATGCTGCTGAATAGCAGAGTATCCCTCCGGACTGAATCATAGTGTCTATTTAGCTTGTGCTTCAGTCCTGCCATGTGACTAACAACAGGGAAAGAGCATGCTATGTTGCCACTCAGGCAACTCTCCAGACACCTTGGCCTAGCAGTGCAGCACACCATGTCATCACGCTGGGAAAAGGGACACGCAGCCTGGCAGAGCATGACAGGCAGGAGCTTAGTGGCAGCTAAAGTCTCACAAAATGTAGTGAAATAAGGAAAAGCTTCTGTCTTGATGATTACGTCTATCATGGTGCAGTGAGAGTCATGACTAACCTTGACCCCCCTTGCTCAGAATGCGTGCTGAATACTCAGGTATGACATACTGTGTCATGCAGACACAACTACTGTGATATTTTAATTCCTAAAACTTTTCTGGGTCTGGTATCATCTCATCTGCAGACCATAAGCAAAAAGGCCCACTCCTCTGTACCTTAGCTTTATTTTCTGTGCATGTATGTACCTACTGCAGGTCTGTATACTGCTCTGTACAGACTGCTGACTGAGCTCGGCATTCTCCCAAAAACCTGAAAATAATCACGCGTTTTATTCATGATATAAGAAATTGTACTGAAAAAAAAAAGGGTCGCCGCCATATCTGTTATAAAAACACAAGTGATGGTGTTTTACAAAGACCGTTGACATTTGCTGCAGAAACCACCTGATATAAACACGACTGCACGGTTGCGATTTCTGTTGCACTTCTTGTCTGCTGCATTTATTAGAGCTTACTTGCACTAGCAGTACAGATAAGGAAGCTAAATTTATTTTTAAAATTCTCCCACAAAGAGCACAAGGTTTTTTTTCAGGTGTAAATCAAAAGTCTTTGACCTAACAGATTAAACACTGAGTTACTCCAGGTTCAATAAAGAGCTGTGTGTATATCTGTCCTGTCGCTGTAGAAACTGTGTTCCACACGCAGGTTTTTCATGGGGTTTCCAATCTGTGCCTACAGGTTGGACAACTCTTTTAGCAAACAGGGACTCAGGCTTAAAGATTGTTTTTTTCTTGAGTGAACATATAACTAATCCAACATTACACACTGAAACCTGAGACAGTGGAAACTCCATGTTTAAATAGGCTTGGACTAAGTTGGCTGAAATGTTTGATCTCCTGTTCCTGAGGTGATGTCTAAAGAACCATAAAACTACTTTTGGATTTATGTCAAAACCAGAGCTTAAGTGCCGTATATGAAGACTACATGATGCACCACCACAGACGGCACAGCTTCATGACTTGGCACCAACTGTTGGCACTGTGCAGGGTAGCCGTGCGTATTAGTGGAATCAACAAGATTACAAATCCTACACCGGACTCTTAATCCAGTCCATCAATCTGATGTTTTGCAGACTGATTTTTATTCATTTACAAATTAACCAGTTTACTCCAAACCCTCCAAGCGTCTGAAGACCGGGTGCTGTATTCTGTATTTGAGCCATGCACATACACTGCGCTCATGCACACTTTGGTGAGTGTTTGTAAGACTAAACTGCAGCAGCAGGAAATGAATACAAAAGAATTGGACAGTTAGTTTGAATGTTTCCCATGAAACCATCAACATACCATCTTCCTTGGTTCTGACTTTAGCTGCAGAGCTCTCTGGACCTGGCCCAACATCTGTGTGAGCCCTCACCCACACCAAATACTCCGTCCACTTCTCCAGGTCCTCCAAAATGTAGCTGGTGATATCAGGACCAATCCCTGACACCTGGTGGCGTTTCTGGTCCTCTCCCGTGAGTGCTTGGTAGGCCAGGGAGTAGCCAACAATCTCACCGTGCTGGCTGTCTGTGGGCGGGGCCACCCACCTCACCTCGATGCTGGTGGAACTGAGGCTGAGCAAATGTACTTCCTGGGGTGGGGCTGATGGGGCTGAAGGAAGGGGAGGAGGGAGGGTAATGGTCAGGTAGGGTGGATGATGGATGATGAAGCAACTGTCTCTCTGGACTGTGTTACCGAGTAATTATTAAACTGGCAGATTAATGCCACATTATCCTATCAATGTTTTTGTCATTATGGTTTGTGGAAACAGTGTCTCCTGCTGTATGTTCAGTGTACATCATTGTAAACACACAGAAATATGTGATTATTTTAAATTACATTTGTCTGGAGGGGAATAACGAAACCATGAAGCCAGTATGGCTGACAAATCAAACCACAAAGTGCAAAGAAGGCCCCGCCCCTCCAAAAACTACGTGTTTGGGACTCGCCTGTTCAGAAAGCTTTGGTTGATAGGTGTGCTGCCACAGGCTCTGCTTGCTGTCTGCTATGCGTCACCTGGACCCCTCAAGCATGTTTGTAGTGTCGGTGCCTCTTTCCAGCATTTTAAAGCAGAAATCGGACAAATGTTATAACTTTGTTTTTAACTGTGCAGACTGTCCAAGAATTCTGTGTCCCAGTTTGGTGAGTGAAAGTTTGAGTGTGTTATCTGTGATCCAGCACTACGCCTAAGCACTCGAGGGGCATGTCAGCATGTGAATTACACTCAGATGTTACCTGCAGTAGTTCCACTCTGACAGAAAAATCTTGAGCCACGTGTCATTTCTTTAGATTTTGTCAGGAAAATGGGCAATTTTTGGTATTTTTCTTCTGCTTTCTGTGCCTGAGTGGAGGTAACGTACAAATGTGATCAATGAAGTCTCATTTTATCTCATCTCTTATGACAGAGCCTCCTCCCTGCTTTACAGTTGGCTGTAAACACTCCTCGTCATATTTCTCTCCTGATCTTCGTTGTAAATGTTGATAAAATGTATTTCAAATTTGGATTCATCACTCCATGAGATCAGCCACAAGTTCAAGTTTTGAAGGATACGCCACGCTGAGATAAGGATAAGCTTTGGGCTAATAGCTCTTGGGAATCACCTTATTGGTGCAAAAATACTATTTCATGCCTGTCAAACTACGTGATTTTTTTCTATTTTCAAATAAAGATACAATAAAGATACATTTTAAACTTGGTTCTTTGCAAAGCTGCAGTGCCTCTTCACCTCACTGTGCAACACCTTTTGTGCAATACTTTTTGTAAATAGTGCAATAGACCTCAATACTTGAAATGTGCAATTCACTTGTATTTTTATTCCTATTTATTCTATTTATCCCCTTCGTATATTTTATTTATATATGTCTCTGTATTTATATATGTGTGTGTAAATATATATAATATTCTGTAACTCTGTAACTTCTGTCGGTGCTGTGCTTTTGGAAACCGAATTTCCCAGAGGAGCCCACCCGAGGGATTAATAAAGTTTTATCTCATCTTATCTCTTATCT